AGGACAAGGTCAACACGGGACATGAAAACGACCCACGCCTCCGCTAGAGGCCAGAAGAGGACGGCGCCGGAGGGAAAAGAAAACGAGGAGTCGAATCAGCGACTGCAGAGGCCACCAAAGCCTAGCAGGAAAACGCTGGAAATGATAGACCCAAACATCACAACACGCCGCAGCACCCAAAATATGGACCTTGACAGCGACAGTGACCAATGATGGAACAAGACTAACTAAAGATACTGCAGTATAACGTCCGCAAATTAAAGAAGCAGGTTAGGTGACGCTACTCTAAGACCCAAGCATAGCGACCTATAATATACTAGCTATTCAAGAATCTTGGCGCAATCTTTTGAAGACATGATACACCACCCAGCAAAGAACATCTTCTACCTTTATCAACAAGCACCTAGACTATGCCTGCTGGCAAATCGAGCAATGCACGCGAGACCTAAGCGCACTGCGGATCCTCACAGGCGAGGGGGAGGCAGAAAACGAGCTGATACTGCATAATATATACAACCCAGGCCAAGGCGAAGACCAGGTGGCCACCCTCCCAGCCTTATGAGCCTAGCTAGGGAAACACGCTACAAAAGAGCAGATAGCGCTCGGCGACTTCAACCTACACCACCAACTATGGGGGGGCCCAGAAGTCATAAGAGAAGAGCCAGAGTCAGAGGAACTCATTGAAATTATGGACGACCTCAATATGATAAATATGCTGAACCAGGCACAATCACGTTTAACAACGGCATTGGTCAGTTAACCATAGATCTCTGGGCCTGGCCGACCGGTCCGCCTCACCGCGTGCACTGGATTGGCTGGGCCTTTCCTTCTGCGGGCGTATGCCTTTGAGGTTCTTAAGACTATATCTGTATCTAGATCTCTATCTCGTTCTATTGATTACTGTACACTGAAAAGTTGCTTTATGATATCTAATATTTACATTTTAATGCTGGCAGGCTTTGATGACTCCTGGGATTGGGGAACGCTATGCACATGACCATACTAGGTAATGTGGCTTTCATAGATCTCTGTTGGATGACCAAGGCTGTTGTTAAACGTGATTGTGCCTGGTTCAGCATATTTATCATATTGAGGTCGTCCATAATTTCAATGAGTTCCTCTGACTCTGGCTCTTCTCTTATGACTTCTGGGCCCCCCCATAGTTGGTGGTGTAGGTTGAAGTCGCCGAGCGCTATCTGCTCTTTTGTAGCGTGTTTCCCTAGCTAGGCTCATAAGGCTGGGAGGGTGGCCACCTGGTCTTCGCCTTGGCCTGGGTTGTATATATTATGCAGTATCAGCTCGTTTTCTGCCTCCCCCTCGCCTGTGAGGATCCGCAGTGCGCTTAGGTCTCGCGTGCATTGCTCGATTTGCCAGCAGGCATAGTCTAGGTGCTTGTTGATAAAGGTAGAAGATGTTCTTTGCTGGGTGGTGTATCATGTCTTCAAAAGATTGCGCCAAGATTCTTGAATAGCTAGTATATTATAGGTCGCTATGCTTGGGTCTTAGAGTAGCGTCACCTAACCTGCTTCTTTAATTTGCGGACGTTATACTGCAGTATCTTTAGTTAGTCTTGTTCCATCATTGGTCACTGTCGCTGTCAAGGTCCATATTTTGGGTGCTGCGGCGTGTTGTGATGTTTGGGTCTATCATTTCCAGCGTTTTCCTGCTAGGCTTTGGTGGCCTCTGCAGTCGCTGATTCGACTCCTCGTTTTCTTTTCCCTCCGGCGCCGTCCTCTTCTGGCCTCTAGCGGAGGCGTGGGTCGTTTTCATGTCCCGTGTTGACCTTGTCCTCCGCAGTGGGGGGCCCACGATAGCAGCTGGCGTGTCGCTTCCCGTCGCTGGCGCGACCGCGTGGTATCGCGGCCTACTGGCGTAGGCCGCCCCTACCTTGGCCAACTCGTTTTTCCTGGTTAGGCACAGGCGGTTCCACCCCTCGTGTGTGCCGTGGCATGTTGTGCATTTCCTAGGGGCGTCCCGGTCTCCTTTGGATGGGCAGTCTCTAGAATCGTGTTCTAGCGCGCAGTAGCCACATGTCTTTGCTGCCTTGCATTGGGTTCCCTATATGGCCATATGCCTGACACTTGAAACACTGCTTCAGGCGGCACTGCCATTCATAGCGCTCGCTCTGGCACATCTCTCCTTGCCACACTAGGCCCTCATCGATAATCTTGTTGGCGTCCTCAGGCCTCATGAATTCTATAATGATTGACGACATCGCTTTACATGGTGCCTGCCGGGTAAGCCACCCGATGTATTTGATCTCTGCGTCTGGGATAAAAGGTTTATTATCTTGCAGGATGGCGTTTCTCATGTCTTTCTGCTTGTCCATGTCGACTGTGCTGACCAGTATGCCGTGTACTAGGACGCCGTAGGTCGGGTTCCTGACCGAGGACCCGCTACCAACTCGTGCTACCCAGTCGTCTGTGAACTGCCGCAGGAGCTGCGTCTCCTTGCCTGTTGTTGTTCGGATACTGAGGTCCCCGCTCTTCAATTGGTTGGCTGACATTATGGTGATGCCGGTGATGTGTTCGTTCTCGCTTTGGGTAATCGCTTGGTTGACGTGCGTTTTAAGAGTCCGCGGGTTCATCGCTCGCAAGCGTTCGATTGTGTGGCTATCACTGATGTTTACTATGATCTCCCGCTGGGTCGGCGCGGTGGGAGGCATCCTTTGCTCATGCGTCTGTACGCTGTAAGCGCCTCTGGCCGCCGCCGCAGCGTAGCTCATAGGTGTCCCCTCCTGGGGTCGTATTCCTTTGTTCTTAATGTCCTTCGCGATGTCCACCGTGGTCCTGCTAATCGCCGTTGCTTCGAGGGCCGCTGCTTTTGCCTCTTCGCTGATAATTGCTGTCTTTTGGGCTTCTGTAGTAAGGCCGCGTATTCCCTCTTTTATCATCGCTAGCTCTTTCGCTGAGTCTTCTGCTCCTATTCGGAGCTGCGCTTGGATAACACAGACTGCATCATGGACATGGACAAGATCCGGGGCTTGCTGTACCTTTGTCACGAAGTAGAGGGCTGTGAAGATTATTGATTTTACTATGTCTAGTTCAACAGTACGGTTGGGCCTGCTATGTACGAATTGCGCTGCCGCTTGAAGGTGCTTCGCTAGTTGGGTAGCATGCTCTGGCAGTCTGTTTGACCAGGACTCCCCCTTAGGCCAGAAAATCGACATACCTGTATTTCACGCGTTGGACGCCGCGTCAGGCCTGTCAATTCGTCTAACTACTAAGTGGAGGAGTGTGTATGCACAGTTTAAACTACTAGATTCCAAGAATTCACGTTCTCGCTGTGGTGATGTTTTTTTTTTTCCACTAGGCCTAGTTCTAAGTTACTAGCCTAAGGCGTGTCAGTCGCTGCTTGAGTGGCACGTGATGCAAGAAACACCCAGTTTCACAACAAAATCTGGTGGATCTGGAGCACACTATGCTCCGCCGGGCATAGCCACAAAATGAAATGCTGGCCGAAACTGTGTAGGATTAAATGAATCAATCGATCGATCATATGATTTCTGAAGATAACTTATAGCGGACGGGGAACTGTGTTCGATTCCGAATCTTTGCGGAGAAAACAGGGTGATTTTCTAATAGAGATCTGGTATAAGGAGAAGTCATATAATACTTTGAAATAGGTGGAAAAGGGGATATAACAATGATGCGACTTTAAGCAGGAACAAAACCTCAGAAAACAGAACGATAGAGAGAAAAGTTAGTATATAGGACTTGTATGTAGCCTGCATATCCAAATCCGGATGGGTTAGGGTAAATGACTACTGTAATCAAATCAGTTAATCATTAGCTTCATTCCTCAATAGTTAGCTTTGCCACCAACCCAAATATACCGTTCATCCATCTCTGTATCACGCTGATATCATCCCCCTTACGATGATAATAGTTTTTATAGTTTGAAACATATTGCTTTATTATAGAGAGATCGAACTAAAAAGTTAGGCAAGTCAACCGATTCTAATTACAGCCTTCCAACTGTTCCAAATCGAGGCCTAATGTAGACCTGAGCCAGAAGTGCTCATTCTGCTCATCCATGAGCGTCATGAGCGTCATGGGCGTAAGGTTCCGCTTTTTGGTTGACCTTGTCTTAATATATCATTGGCTCATAGCAGTGGAATGGATTTCGGTTAACAGGAAGGGCATAACAAAAGATCGTACTGTGCAAATCTCAGTGGAAGCCTGCGTTATAATTTTTTCGGCGTATACATTGCTTTAGCCTCTACACACTATTTTAGCTGTGTTAAAACTGAACTGACACATGAAAACATCATTCCTACAACTGGCATGAGAGCTTGAGCAAAATCCCATTTGGCAGTTCCGTGACAATGATAAGAGTTTCTCAACATCCGATATTGACCTATTGACCTCAAATTGATCTCGTGATGACATTATACAAAATGGGCAATTTTAAACGAACTCTGGCCACCTGCGAATTTCTTAAACATTCAGAATCATACACGGCTTGACAGCTTAGCGTTCTACAATGCTACACTCAGAGACCTCTGTCCCTTTGCCACGCCGACAATTGAAACCTAAATTTGAGACGAAAAGTTTTCTCCCTTTCGCTTATTTCCAATGTATATAGTCTCGACATAACGGAAGTCTTCACGGCATCGAAGCAGACGCAGATGCCACCATCTCTGCGTAATAGCTAAGGGGAAAAAATCTAAGCCGAAATTCTTTCATTGATAAGTTTAGGCCGAATTTGATCATGGAGCACGAACTTCGTGAAACGAATCAACGAGAGGCGGTCTGCAGATCGCCCTATTCGACGTGATCATTCCAATCCTAAGGCCGTCGACTGCCACCCATGGTCGATCGAAAGAAAGTCCTGGTACGTACATGCATGTAGAATCGAGGCCAAAAGATATGAGATATTTTGCCAAAGACTTATATCATGAGCAAAGGCGCCGCAGAGATGTTTATTGTACGTAACCGCGATGGACCACAGTGATAACATAGCCGGGTTGGTAAAAGGCAATGTGAGCAAATGTTATGTGAGAAGATAACAATATCAATGAAGATATATATATGAGTTGTGTGAATAAGTTAGTCTGCTGTTTACTATTTGACCTAGTCAAGTGAGTCCATCAGAATATCGTGACTTTTGATGGTTCTGTTCTCGTTTTGCTTCAATCAGCAAGCTTTTTACCTGAGATACCAAGCTTTGAAATATGTAGCTTTCCCAATTGGACATCGCCGAGCTTCTGAACTTGAGCAACAGCATCTCCGAGCAAGACCCGCATAGCTCCCTCTAATCTCTTATCCCCTTTTCCTCGTAGCCATGTAATTAAGACCACAAGAATGAACACGTCGATGGCGATATGTTTAACAATGCCCCATATAAATTTCGTTAGAAAACGCAAGATTCGAAACTGTATGGTGTGCGTAAATAACCTACGCGCTTCTAATTGTTCCCGCACCGCAGCTAACTCCGCGGTTAATTTTATGATGCTAGCGGAGACATTCTTCTTCCAGTTTTCGTCCGACGATGGCGGAGGAGCAGGTAGATAGGGGTGGCCCCTTCTCTTTCTGTGTCTTTCTCCGCTCATGGGAGCATCCCGGTCCAAGTCGATACCTCTTGATGGACTGGATATCACCGCACTGATATTATTCGTTGGAATTGGTTCATCTACCTGTGAATCCGGAGCGTCAACAAATTCCTCCTCATCCTCAGCATCCCCAGTTGCCTCAATGTTCAGTTTCTCTTTGGCTACAGTATCTACGAAGTGCATATCACGTTCGCTAATAGGATGAGGGCTCTCACGTTTGTGGTCGATAGCTGGGCCGAAAGCGCCGTATCGCGGTGGCTCGGCTTGTCTGGTTACATTCAGTTGTATGCCGGCGGACTGTAGAGGTGAGGAGGAATTTGATGATGGAACATTGCTTTTTACTTGGTCCCAAACAAACTCAAGCTCCGAGACTAGCTCTCGCGACTCCGGTGAGCCTGATGCGTACTTGTTCATTGTGTCGATCAGCGTGGTAATATATCTTCTTTTAGCTTCAGTTCGAGACAACCCCGAATGGGCGTGCCACGCTTCCCTGAGTGAGGACAAAATGAGCAAATGGGAAATCAGACCCTATTCCAGACAGCATTTCATACCATTTTTCCTTGGCCCTTCTGCTCGGCTCGTCATTTCCAGATGGCCTCTCCATAATTCCCTCGACATCACCCTCTATAATATGATTCATCAGCGTTCAAATTTGACGTATATTATTCTTCTGGAGGAAGAATCGTATGCCTTGAATGAGTGAAGCGAAGAGGCTGGGATCGGGGATGAGTACCCATGCTCTGCTTGTAAAGGCCATAAAGTTTCAGTCGCGTTTTCGCAGGTGGTTTTTCTGAACCTGTTCTTATCTTGTTAACAGTATTGAGGGCATGACTGAAAACTCTGTCTAAATTTATTGTTAGTGATTGTTCATTCAGTATTCGCGAGATGCGCGGCTGAAATATGTGTGATGTTGCATAACTTACCCACAGAGTCGGACATTGTCGTAGGGAAATGATGAAAATGGTGCAGATATAGCCTGCCGCTTCAGAAAACGCTCGTCAACGCAAGTAATAGGTTTGCGCACACGATGTTGGTGTGTGGCTCGATCGGACCGACACGAAATTCAGTATATTGAGGTTCAAGATTGACTAACTTAGAAACTCAGTTACTGAACGCGACTCGCTTCGTTGAAACCGCCTCGGCTGTTCCGGCTGAGTCCGTTATCGGCATGGCACACCGATGTTTCGTTCATGCTTCCATGCCTTTTTACTCATTTGTTCTGAAAAGACGTCGATGCAACCTGCTTATCATGTTCCAAAATTCAATCAAAACGATTTGCAAGAGTTTTATACGTATATTTCCGGCTCTGGCCGAGTATTGAAGAAAGTTGGAGAGGATTTCTTCAGTCATTTCTCATGTTGTGCTACGAGAAGAGCAAAACAATAAATATATATACTTAAGAGATTCCCTTTACACCGGTAAGACTCGCCCGTTGATAATTCCTATAAATTATCTTCATTGAGTCGAATTAGAATTGCAGGTAGTTTCTATGACCAGTCCCCTGCAAGAAACGTAAGATGGTCAGTGCAAGGGAAAATCGTATGTGATATGCGATCACGTCTTTGCCTATTAGGTAGCTTTCGGAACTCAAGGGACCTCAGCGAGTAGACCGCTAGGTCTCGTCAACCCCTCAGGGTTACTATACATTTGTACTTTAGACTTTCAAACGACGTGTGTTCGAGCTGATGGTTCGTCATCAGACGAAAACAACATAGAGTGATCATATATCCACCTGAAGACCGGGAAATGCGTTTTCAGAAACCGCATTGCCCAGTGTGACCGTAAGACCATGGCAGTGCCCCGGGACTAGGAGGACTCACGGCACATCAACCTCCAAATGAATATATATGACATTGATATGAAGCTTTTCGACGTATTGAAATCCATAGAAAGAGATAAAAGAAATAGATGCAGACGCACTCTGAAGAGCTCTCTTAATCATGCTAGCCACCTCGTTAAGATAAACGACACCACCAATGTTTCTGCTGTGGAACAGAAGATTGACCCAACTATGTATAGTGACAGAAATGACACAAATATGATGAGAGAAAGCTTCTGACATGCCCGAAAGGATGCTGAAGTAGAGAAAGAGGCTTCAGGGTCTCCAGCACTGTGTGGTACATGGGTCGGTTGTTGTATACGATTTTGGTCTTGGCGATCTGTTCCTTTCTGGCTGGGCATTGGCGTTTCCAGGCCTCGTGTGCGCCACGGTAGCAGGCGTACTTGGTACTCTGTTCGGTTTTTAAAAGTTAATCCCAGGAATCAGGTTCTTCTGCGCAGTAGTTGTGCTTCACATTGGGTTTCTATATGTTTTGGCAGTTGAATCATTGCTTTTGGTGACATTATCATTCGTATATTTCAGTATTGTGGCAGCTCACACGCCACGTGGGTCCTTTGTCTATGATTTTGTTTGTGTTCCCCGGCTTAGTGAACTCAATCACTAATATTAATATCATCTTGCTTGGTGCGCTTCAACTGAGCCATCCCATATATTTAATTTTTACTATTGGGATAAAGGTCCTGTTCTTACTTAGGATGGCAGCGCTGACATCGTCTAGTCTAGCCTTTGGAGCGTACAATATGGATAAGTCTGCCGTGTCTCGCTGCATATTAATATTCCATTCCCAATTCTAGGGACCCATTTCTGTGCGGATTATTTAAGTGTTTTAACGAACATGACCCTTGCATTGGTTACCCCGCTCTGGGTGATGGCACGGTTAACATGCGCTTTCATATTGCGCGGATTCATGGCGCGCAGGCTCTGGATGGTCTGTGGATTTCTTATATTCACGATGATCTCACGCTGCACAGGGTCTGGAGCAATGCGAATATTCTGTGTACTGTACGTGCTTGCTACCAGAGCACCATGGGCTGTCGCTGCAGCAGAACACACTGATGTTCCTGCCTGATGTTTTCTTCCTTTATTTCTGATATCTCTTGTCATACCCGCAACTGTTTTGACGACTTCTGTGGCCTCTTTCGCTGCCGCGGTCGCCTCTTTGCCCGCCGTGATGCCCTTTTGTACGCTTACTGTGAAGCTTTTGAGTCCCTCCTTGATATTCTGTATCTCTGTTGCCGTTCCGTTCGCATTCTGGGTCAGTTCAGTATATACGATGCACATGTTGTCATAAACCATTACTAAGTTAGGAGCCCTCTGTACTTTTGCTACTAGGGACAGCGCTGCCATACTTTTCATTTTCATCTCTTCTCGGGTCACTTGTTGCTCTTTTTCGCGATCGACATGGACTAGTACATTCCGAAGGTCCCCCAGAAGGCGTGTAGCATGCTCTTGTAGTGGTATTGGCCGTATCACCTCCTGAGGCCATGGGGTCGTCATTTCTCGTTCTACATGCGTTGGGCGACGCGCTGCGATTGCTAACGACCTTTCTTCCTCCAGGTGACGTATATGTGCAGTAAGGCAGTTCAATTTCAACAATTCGAATTTTTGCTGTTGTAATGTTTTTTTTCCTTGATTTGAATAGTAAATGCAGCAATTAACTTTGTTGAGGCATCACAAGAGATCACGTGTTATATTTGTAATGGATATGATCATTCAGCTTCTGAATACATGAAATATGGATAGGTATTAAGTCAATTAAATACTTGGTCCTGTAAACGTAGAGCAAGATGAATGGACTACAAAACGACCGCGTGATGGTGGAAAACGTAGACCTGATTAATATAGTTAATGAAACTTAGCTGCTGAAAACTCCAAAAGCTTGGATGGTTCTCCCTTCTAACCTTTTTTCTGGGAGTCATACATTGCTTTGCTACTTAGAAGGTGTTCGAATGATGGCACTTTTACGTAGGCAAAGTACACATTCAGATTTGATAAACCCTGTTATAGCCAATCACGTAGTTCTATTTTGTAATATGCTTTTTGGCTACCAGGGCACATTGAATCCGAAGCAACAATTGACGCCTCTAAGAAACCTAACACATGCTGTCGTTGAACAAACCACGTATATGATGATTTAGCACTTGAATTTTCTCAGGCACTTCTAAGTTCTCGATATCACTACTAGAGCTTCCGTTTGAGATTAAAGGAAGGTACCAACCTCGCGGACTTTTCTTAGATGTTTAGATCTTACAACCCTTTCACCAGATTGTCTTGAAGTAATTGAAGCTTCGCGCACGAGCTCCTGCATAAAAAGCACGTAGTCGAGAAAAACCTCGAAGGCTTCGTTAGTATTCAACGTTGGAAACCCTGTTATTTGCAACAGGCATGACGAAAGCACAACAAAACGTACCAGAATATCAACATTTTTCGCCACTGGACGGTTGGCGTGCGCTTTCGTAATTTTTTTGAGGCCTGCACGAGGATATATCTTTTGAGGCGCCATGTGGATAATCCAGTTCGATGCTAGAGAGATTGAGAAATGCTAATAAGAATTGTGCACGCTTTCGAGATGAATCCACAAGAGCGTGATGGAGAAATGAGTTATCCGAAACGCGGAATCACGTGATACAGGCGTTAAGTTGGCTTAAGACTAACATAATTCATCAAGTCGCGAAAGAAAAACATCACAACAGCGAGAACCCGAATCATTGAAATTGAGTAGTACTATCGTACAGACACGTCACTCTGGACGAATTGAGATCGTTAGCCTTTGCAGCGCGTCACCCAACGCGTGTGGAACGCGAGATGACGATCCCTTGGCCCCAGGAGGTGACATGGCCAACACCGATACAGGAGCACGCTACTCAACTTACGGGATATCTTCGGAACGTATTGCTTCACCTCGATCGCGTAAAAGACCAACCAGTAACCTCAGGGGAGATAAGGACAGTCATTATGGCAACAATAGACCTGGTCGGGAAGGTCTCAAGGACCCCTGACATGACGGCAGTACACGACAAGATAGCCATGATACGTGCTGACTTGTCTCAAAACGCAAATGGACAAACATAAGAAATACAGAACATCAAGGAGGAAGTCAAGAATTTGACGGCGAATGTACAAAAGGGCACGGCGGCTAGCGAAGCGGCGACCGTGGTGGCGAAAGAGGCGGCGGAAGTCGGCAAGACGGTAGCAGGCATGGCAAGAGATATTAAGAATAATGGTACGCGGCATCAAACAGGAGCACCGATGAGCTATGCCACTGCGGCAGTACAAGGTGCTTTGGCAGCAGGCAAATACAACGTACAGAACTTATACTGCTCCATCTCCAGCTCCCGTGCAGCGTGAGATCATCGTAAATATAAGAAACGCCCAAACAATACAGAACTTACGCGCCATGAACCCGCGTACAATGAAGAGAATGAACACATAGCTAGGATCACAACCATGTCAGCCAATCAGCTCAAGAGAGGAGACCTTAGCATCCGGACAACCACCAACAGCGAGATGCAGACGCTCCGTCAGTTCACAGATGACTAGGTACCACGTCTTGGAAACGGAACGTCAGTACGTACTTACACATACGGAGTTCTTGTTCATGGTATTCGCACAAGCACGATTAATATGGAGAACTTTGAAGAAGTCAGAGATACCATCCTACACGAAAACAGAGCCTTCCTTCCGACTGCGGATATCAAATATATAGGCTGGCTGACCAGACAGCCACCACAGAAGGCAATGTCATTAATAGTCATCGAGTTCACGAAGCCAGAAGACGCCAACAGGATCATCGACGAGAATTTGGTCTGGCAGGGCGAGATGTGCCCGGCCGAGCGATACGAGAGGCAGTGCCGACTGAAGCAGTGTTTCCAGCGCCAAAAGTACGGCCATATAGGAACCCAATGCAAGGCAGCGAAAACATGTGGCTACTGCGCGCAGAAACACAGTTCCTGGGAATGCCCGACGAAGACAAATCGGGAAGCCGCTAGGAAGTGGGTCGTATGCCACGGCACACATGAGGCCTGGAGTCGGGAATGTCCAACCAGGAAGGAGGAGGTAGCCAAGATTAAGGCGATCCTCACAACCCGTCCAAAATACCACCCGGCTTTGACGGCACACAATGAGATCGACCAGCGTGGACTGGACCGAATATCCCTCAGGAGATCAAGATCTACGAGAGACTTGACACTACACGAAAAATCAAGGACGAGTCGGCCCAGCTCTACGCAAGGACGAGGACAGAAGAGGTCAGCACCAGCAGGGGACAAGGAGAACGAACCTCCAAGCGCTAGCCAACGGCCGCAGAGAGCGGTGATACCTTCTAGAAGGGCGCTTGAGGCATAGGCAGCTAACGCACTTAGACAGGGGAACTCACAGATGGACATCGATACTGACGCAGACCTATGATAGAACAACCGCAACTAAATATACTGCAGTATAACGTACGTAAGGCGAAAGACACCATCATGGCAACGCTGCTACGAGATCCGAGAGTGATAGAGTATGACGTACTCGCTATTCAGGAACTGTGGAAGAATCCCTTCATGTCAACAACACACCATCCCGTCAAGGACATCTTCCAGCTCTGCTATCCAGAAATCAACAAAGAGGATGGCCCGGCAATAGTATGCTTCTTCATTAATAAAAGGCTCGACCACAGCGCGTGGAAGTTCGTACAAAACACAAAGGACCTGTGCACGCTGAAGATTCGTATAGGCGGGGCAGATGCGTCAAGCAACGAGCTGGCCATACACAACGTGTACAACGCACCACAGAACACGGAGGGACGGGAAAGCACCATCCCATCGCTGAAAGCACAGCTGGAGAAACACGCACCTGAAGAATAAATCGCACTTGGCGACTTTAATCTACATCATCGCCATTGGGGGGGCTCGCAGGTCCGACGGGAGGAAAAAGAGGCGAGGGATCTCCTCGAGATGATGGAGAACCTCGACAGGACCAGCATGCTGAAACCAGACACAATCACTTACGAAGAAGGAGATGGTAGATCGACTATAGACCTCTACTGGACAACGCTAGGCATGGTGGACAGGATCATTAAGAGCAAAGTAGATCGAGACATGGACCACGACTCTGATCATTTGCCTATCAGCATCCTACTAGATGTCCGAACGATCCTGGTGGGAACCAAACCGAAGCGGCGATGGAAGAACCTGGACACCGAGAAATTCTGCGAGGCGCTTAGATGCTCCCTGCCGCCAAGAAGGAGGCCGAGGACAAAAGCCGCACTCGATAGGTATACTTGGGAGCTTGTAGATGCGATCATGCAAGCCGCTGATGAAATACTGCCGCCAGAGCAGCCCAGTCCTAAGGGGAGAGAAGGCTGGAATAGGACATGCACTGAAGTGTTAGCGGAGACGAAGCATCTACGCCGCGTGTACACAAGAAGACCGACAACGACGGCATGGGAGCTATACCGCGAGGCACGGAACCGCAAGACGCACATTATAAGAAAGGCTCTGAGGCAAGCACACAGAGACCGAGCAGAGCTGGCCGTCGAGTCACCTGCGTCGCTCTGGAGGATCGCCAAGTGGGCTCGCAACAGAGGGAACCAACCCCCGAGCGTAAGGCCAGCAATCAGATGCCCCGCCACCGGCGAGAAGGCTGTGCGACCCGAGGAGAAGGCGAGTCTGCTCCGAGACACCTTCCCGAAACCGCCTGACGCCGATCTAAGCGATATGGAGAACGCGCAGTACCAAGACCAGATCCCAATGCCAGACATCACGGAGAAGGAAGAGTTGGAAGCCATCCGGGCTGCAGCACCACTCAAGGCACCAGGACCGGACGGCATACCGAACAAAGTCCTACAAGCTGCATCGTCCATACGAAGTGGGACACTTGGTCACAATCATGAACCGGAGCCTTCTGATCGGATATTGCCCTGCGCACTTTCGCAACTCCACTACAGTAGTACTGCGCAAGCAGGGCAAAGACGATTACACCACGCCGAAGGCATACCGCCCCATAGCACTACTGAATACTATCGGCAAGGTGATGGACGCAATCATTGCACGCAGGCTGAGCTATCTGATGGAGAAGTTTCATGTTATTCCTAAGCTGCACATGGGAGGCAGGAGGCTGCGGTCCGTGGAACATGCGCTACACACCGTCGTCGAGAGGGTGTACAAGGCATGGAACAAAGGTCAAGGCCAGGTGCTCAGGCTCTTACTGCTCGACGTGTCCAGTGCCTTCGACAATGTCTCGCACAAGAGACTACTGCACAACCTGCGGAAACGGAGGGTTGACGAAAGGATCGCTAGATGGATAGCGAGCTTCCTAAGCGGCAGACGAACGAAGATCATAGTTGACGGCCACGAGTCCGAGGAGTACAATATCGAGACTGGCGTTCAGGGCTCCCCTTTGTCCCCAATTTTCTTCATCCTGTACAACGCTGATCTGATAAAATGCTGTAACTCTGAGGAGACAGAAGCCAGGGGATATATCGACGATGGGGCAATCTTTGCTTGTGGAGACACCATGGAAGATACATGCTCCAAACTCGAACGTGCGCTCGTGAAAGCCGGTAGGTGGGCTGAGACACACGCGTCCAAGTTCGCTCCGGAGAAGTTCCAGCTGGTCCATTTTACACAAGCGCGCACGCGCATCGAGGTGAATCGACCGCTGGATACAACCTGG